TTCGCTCTTTGGGCCATTTAATTTGAGCTGCACTTTTAGTGTGTCAACACCAGCTGATTAATAAAAACAATTACACAAAATATACCTATAAATATACAATACGAAAGAATCTCCAGCTGTAATTCTAATAAACTAGTTGAGATTAAACAGAAAATGGAAAGATGTAGATGATGACTAACTAACTGTACAACAACTAACAATGCAGCTAACTAACTAATAGTTTACACTTTAATAATAAACATAAATGAATGATGAAAAAGTGGGTAATATTGGTGTGTAGCGTTCTAAAAAGCATTTAGGCGCCAAGTTTGATCTTGTTGTTTGGCCATGTTTCATGCATTTTAGAACATTTTGCTTGTAAATATATCAAAATGTGAATAAAAAGTAGATTGAATATTTATACTGTTTATAAAAATGATTGAGTAATTCATGCAATATGCATGCCTACACGGTCTATTTGGTATCTTATCACAAAATTTCACGAAATTTTATAGCACTTGTTTGATTTTAACTTTTCCAAAATTATTTATTCTTAAACTTATTTTTAATTGTACATTCTTTTAATAAAATAATTCGATTATCATCACATAATATTTTTTAATTTTTAATTATAGCTCCTGTTCGGTGAGAATAAAACCAAATTTTTAACAAATTTAAAAAAATTAATAAAAAATGTGGTTAAAAAATTGTGGATCATGTGAAATATATGATTGAAATTTATTGTTAACTTTAAAAGTTTGATTTTAATTATTCGCCAACAGAGACATATTCCCTCAAAAAATTATTTTTCAGAAAATGGCCTAACAAAAAATAAAAATCAAATCGTGCCTGATGATTTGAAATTATTAAGAGACCATTTTTAATTTTTTTGCCGTTGAAATTCATAAGACGACTTTGCCCTCACCCCAATTCCCATCAGCCGTCCAGCGGTTTATCAACACGCACAGCACAATTTGGTTATTTCACCCTTATCCTTCTTCCTGTGTGCCATCCCGTTCTTACACGAGTGACACAACACAGGTGTCGGTCGCACGTGCCACTCCCACCCCAACTCTATTATCACTGGCTTCGATGAAACCCCTTGTCTCTCTAAATTCTTCACTCAAATCCAACACCCCAACTGCTTCACATATATATACAGTATATCTATTGAGAGAAAGAGTGTGATCTTCAATTTTTTTTCCATATCACAACTTTACGGTTCAACATCGATTACTTTCTCTCTATCACTCTTTCTTAGCCGAGCAGCTGCAATTACACGGATCAAATCTACCATCGCTACTATCACCGCCAGGTACTTTTTACTAAAAAATTGCTTTACATTATTAATTTTGATTCTGTCCTTAATAGTATGAATATAAGCGTGCTTCCTGGAAAATAAACCAGATTTTCCTTTTCCTGTTCGAATTGAGCTGTTTCTTAGGGAAATAATGAAGTTAAAGCTGTTTTCAGCTGTTTGTACTGTGTGCTTTGCATATTGTACTTATGATTTTGCTGTTTCTGGTAATGAGCGGAAATGTTGACTAATTTTGATCCACCTTTTCTGAACGAGTTACAAAGTAAAACTGAATTTTGGATTTATCCACCAGTTTTTCTACAACTTACCAGATATGCATTTTGTCTATTATTTGACGTTACTATATTTATCTCTCTCTTATTTTGGTGATGATTTCTTGCTACCTATAATTTATTGTTATCATGTGCAATTACTGTAGTAGCAATGTAGTCATATGGCTTGTCTCAACTGGTAATCCATTATCAAAATGTTGAGAATTAATAAAATTGGATGCTAAAGGTCTATTAGTAATGGGGTGTGGTTCTGTGAGTTCTAGTTCTTGCAACTGCCATTAACATTTTTGAGACACTAAAAAATGGTAATAGTGAGAGTTATTAAAAAGGACGGATAAGTGAGATAGGAGATACAAGGCTGTCTAATCAGGAACATAGAAATTGAAAGAATCAATCAATCAAATGGTTGGAGTTTCAATCTTCAAAAGCCCTGTAATTGTAGCAACTTTTTGTTTCATCCATAGTTTCCTAAAGTATTTTGCTTTTAATTTTGAATATTGTGCATCATTAGGAAGCTACTGGTCCGAAAATTGTCTAGCTCGTTACCTGATGTCACTGTGATAGTAAAGAGAAGAAAAAGGGGAAAAGGCTGCCAATTCACGTTTTTATATTTTGGTGTCACATGGAACCTTACGTCACATTTTTTTGCTCTCTAGTTGTGGCATCTATTATTTTCATTTCTTTTGTTATATTCCAATTTTAATTTTTCAGGGATGCTAGTCCTGATAGTTGTGAATAGGTTTGTGAATAATACATAATAATACTTCACAGATTCTTTTAGTCTCTCTTTGCATGTAGAAGGTTGTTATTGGATATTATGTTAAATAAATAAAGCAGAGTATTTCTTTTGCCTTCTAGGAAGTAGATAAAAAATTGGAATGCCTATAAGCATCAATTCAAGGATTGTATTTTTTCAGTCTACGTTAACGAGAATAATCGTAATTGAAGTTTCACTGAAGTGCACCTGTCTTGGTTTTGCTGTATGGAGGGAGAATTTGGGAAAGACGCTCGTGTATAAGTGATAAATCAAGTATAAAATTATCTTAAATTCACAAATTGGATATGCTTCTTATGGCTTTTGCAGAGTTCCCATGTTGGTAGAGAAAGTTAAATGAATCAACAATGGCTAACTTAATGAACTATCAGAGTGGTGCTCCATGAATGAACTATTTGTTGTGACAACAAAAAAGCGTAAAAAAATGGTTTTGTTGATGCAAGATGTTGATTTCGGTGCAAATTTTCATGGAAAGGATAATTAACAGAGAAACAAAGACAAACAGAATTATGGAAACGAGTGAGTGCATGTGCTAAAAATAAAATGATGGAAGTCATATTGACTGATTAGGTATGTAAGCATGGACACCTACTTGAGTCGCGCATGACATGACATGGATACGTTAAAATTAGGACAGAGAATTCATATGACTCATTCAGAATTAACTTATGCAGTGTCTAAGTGTCGTGTCCGCGTGGGTGGGGTGGGGTGGGGTTAAAATTTTAATAATATGTTAGTCTAAAATCTCATCCATCTTCTTTCCTGTTTTCTTTTTTCAATGCCTTCTCAGCAAAATCTTTAGCATTTGATACTCGGATTATTTAAAAAATTATACACATTTAAATGTTAGATTTACTGTTTTGCTTGCTCTTGAATTGACCGCTAAGTGCATGACTGGTGTTGGAGAAGTATGAAATTAATATTTCAATTAGTGATTCATTTCAATGATGCCAAAGGAGCAAATATGTGTCTTACAAGTATTGAGAGCAACAGATAACCAGTGCACGGCTGATACACTCTGCCTCCTTTTGCGTTTTAATTCCATACGGTTTATTGAATGATTTGTAATTTGACATACAACTGCAAAGGAGTTACATGGTTCCAATTGAGTGTTCCCAAGTTAAAATGTGGTCAAAATGGTTTAATGATTTAGGAGGGGAACAATCCTCGGATTGTCGATATGAGGCTTTCTATAGAAAGAATGGCGGCCGTACGCTGACAGCTTTAAGGAGATAATTCATGGGTTATCAAGTGGAAGTACCTTACTAGAGTAGTATTTGTATGCTCGAGAATAGGATGTTTGAGTTTCAATGTTAATCATGATAATTATTTTTTTGTCATTGGTTCTCCTGTAAGTCTTATTATTATCTAGAAACACTAACCAGGCTGATAAAGTTTGTTGCTTCTTGTTAAGTACTGACAATTACTGAGGGGATTAGTCAATCTCCTACGCCAACATTTTTGGGTGCAAATTTTGGTCCAACTATCATTTAATGTGTCATACTAAACAATAATAACAGCAAACCAAGCCCTTCTCCCAATAAATTTAGGGTCGTCTATACAAATCTTTTTCTGCTAGGTGTTCTGTTCATTGTGCTCCTATGTAATGTGTATTAGGATACGTTTACATAAGATTTGACTGAGTTTTACATTTGGCTGTTAACCTACCACAGCATTCCTCCTTTTGCCTGGACTTGGTAGTGGCTATGAAAAACTCTTGTTATGTTAAGCATTCTAAACAAATGCTTTGTAGAGTACTAATTTTGTTTGCATTACTAGAACTGGACAGTCCTTGGTCATGACTCATGACTAGCAAATTATTATTCATCAGTACTCGTGGCTTGCAAATCATTATTCATTAATACTGAATGTCCATTTGCCACGTTTGTATTAATTTTCTTCCAGTGTTCGTAAAAAGATAGATGTGAAGTTATTTACTGTAGTTTTGAAGTCATTTTTATTTAATTATAATAATATCTATTTGACAATATTAATTTTGTCTATCAGGGGGCCTTTTCTTATCTTTCTTACAGCAGCCAATTTATGGCATCACCAACTTGATAACTTAATGAGTGCATGTCCATAGGAACCGTCCGTACAGCTTTGCACTTCTGATGTTTTGCAGAGACCAGTGCCAAAATGGGCAGCTTCTCTGTGAATTTCTCCCTACCATTGATTCTATGCATCTTACTGCTTCACACTCTTGCAAAAGAAATCGAGGCTCTCGATCCTGATGGTATTTTGGTTTATTTTTGTTCAAGTCCGGTCTTCATTTGCATGCTGTTTAATATCTTATATTCAACTCCTATTTTCATTTGCACTACATCAAATATCGCAGTATAAGTTTTTAACTCAACTCCCGTTTTCAATTGGCACAAGTATCCATGTGATTGACAAAGTAGACCTAAATATTTTCACACTGATTCATTTCAACTTTGACCAAATATTGTATTTCAGTTATGCAATCATTATGATGTATGAGTCCCTTGAAGTAGATTAAGCTTCTAGTTGTTATACAGCCTGGTCAGATCTAAGCATTCATACAATTTCCGTTCAATTCTTTTTAACATTTCTCATAATGGAAGGTCACAGAATCTTGAAATAACATTGTTATAATGTAGTTGCACAGTCTGCACCAAATAGCAAAGGTAATGAGAATGCTCAATTCCTGTAGGCTGGTTTATCATGTTAGCATAATCTTTGAAGTAGGAATTTTTAGATTTGAAAATTGCTTTGCTTTGTGATTTGCAGGCCAAGCTCTAGTGAACTTTAGGACAGCTATCGTTAGCTCTGACGGTATTCTGCTGCAATGGAGACCAGAGGACCCTGATCCATGTGGCTGGAAAGGAATAAAATGTGAACCCAAGACAAAGAGAGTTACAGCCTTGTGAGTTCCATGAAATTAAGATTCTTTAAATCTTATCGGAATTTATGAAGTGTCAAAAATTTACTTAGTCATTGGACCAAGAGAACTTATTTTCTGAGTTGTTCCTTTTATTTTTTCCTCCATTTCAAATATAATGACTTCATTTTTTGTGACAATAAACATTTGGTTTCAATTACCAAAAAGCAGATGTTTCATTTCATTAGTTATCTAAATTACTCTCAATATAATATCTATATATGTAGTTCTTGTACATTCTAAGACCAATTGGCAATGACACGGCCACTTATCTTGGTTTATGCCAATCATCAAGAAAGTAAATGGAGAACTACACAAAGTACTCCACTTTTCAACTCCTAACTAAATTATTGTGCCAAGTCCAACCAAGACTTTCAGTTTGGGACAGACGTAGAGAGTAATTATTGCTCGCGGAATGACCAAACATAAAAAGTATATATGAAGCCAAATTTTTTTTTCTTTCCACTGATTCTTAGGAGTCCCATAATCCTGGTCATCTACATCACCACAGTATACAGTTTTAGCTCGTGCATTGATACTACGATCATTTATATAAGAAATTTTTGGAACTAATATTTTCATCAAAATCAGAGATGTTGATTCTATATTAAGCAACGATTCTCTTTCTTCTCCTCTCTTCTTTCGTTATATGCTACAAGTTTTCTTCTTCTTTACTTTTAATATTAACTTGGGTTTTTATCAAGTTTTTGGTTGTGAACATTGCATTTCATTTCATTCAAGCTGTGGATACATGACTGCATTCTCAATTTAATGTATAGTCGATTTATGCATTAATCTATTGCTAAATGTTATCAGTATCATCAATTTTCCAGGAGCCTTCCTAACCACAAGTTGAGTGGCCCCATATCACCTGATATTGGGAAGCTAGATAGTCTGCAATTTCTGTATGTCTCTTTCACTTCTTCTTTCACATCTTATTACTATGCCTACCACTGATAATAAGATGAACCAAATTTGTCTAGAGCTCTTCATGGCAACAACTTATATGGGGAAATCCCTCCAGAACTGGGAAACTGTACACAGTTGCAATCAATGTAAGTAGAGCTAGCCGTACTTGCTTCTGAAGTTTATGCTATTTTCAACATTACTGGAAGCTTAGTTTTAATAATTTGAATCCTGAAAACATAGTAAAGAACGTGGTTATGTTACTTGAAGTATTTAATTGATGATCTTAAACGTAAATATTTTAACAATTTGCTCATCTCTACTAAAGGAACTGCATCAAAGGACCGTATTGAGTTTATTTAAATTTCACAGCTTTGGTTAACTTTAAGCATGTAGACTAGATTAATGAATATTCTTGTTGGTGAGTATTGTAATAATATAATATGTCTAGTATGTTATGTTGGTCTCAATGTTGCCCGTCCCTCGTCCACTCATAAAAAAAGCTAGGGAAGCTGATTTTTAATTTCTCAAACTATGTCTAAACGTCGAGCACTTTGAGTCCGATGGATTCTGGCAGAATGACCAGAGGCTTGGTTGTTACATTTGATTCAAGAAGCTAATTTGTCTTACTTTATTCAAATTTTTGAGTGATGAGTAGATGAGCTGAAAAAGGAGGATTCATAATTGGAATATTTTCTCTTCACTATCATTGTTAACTTTTCTATATCATTTATTTATTAAAATTTTGTGTCAAGTAAAACATTCCTGATTCTCTTTTTATACAGATTTTTGCAGGGTAACTACTTAAGTGGATTGATTCCCAATGAATTGGGAAACCTATCTCAGCTTGAGAATCTGTAAGTAATTTTTGCAATTGCTTAATTGCTAGTGTTTTGTATTCTTAATCTTAGCTTTCTGAACTCTATTGATAAGATGTTTAATTTCCTGTGAAAATTACATAAAGCTCTCACGTGCTGCCGGGAGCTTGACAAGCTCTATGCGGAAGGCCCTTAGCTGATTTATTCCCCGTTAGTTTACCTTTGTATCATGGAATATCAAAAGGGAGGAAATTCCCTTCTCCAGTGATTAAACTGGATTTTGATCAGCATGAATGAACACTTTTGCGTGATGTTCCGGTTGGAGGAAAAAATATTTTATTTCCAGTGATTGCACAAGAGTAATTTATATCTGGATGGTGGACCCAAAGGAGCACATTCATGTAATAATTGGCGATGTGGGTCAAAATGTAACAACCATATATATTACTGAGTGAATGGTCAATAAGATGCAAATATAAAAAAATTGAATGCTTGAAGATGAATAAAAACTCTCTCGCAAGTATGCCTTAGCTCAAGTCTTTATGAAGTTTTTTTCAAGCTAATCAGAGGTAGTGAATGTTGACTTCCTCCCCAAAAGCCTTTTTTTTTCTTTTCCTATTTCCCTTCTTCTTTTGCTTTCAGTGTTACTTGAGAATATCCCGTGTATTGATTATCTAACAACCAACGTTCTTGATTATATTTTGTCAAGACTGATAAGAAATTGTAGGCAAAATACTGCATACTTCTGAATCTCTATCTACACAGCATGTGGCCGGATTATCTTAAATGATAGATGATGAGAAATTTCTTATACACAAAATATGCATGCTTAAATGCAACAGAGTTTTCTTGAGGTTAATTGTATATTTCTCCTTTTTTTTTGGTGCCTGCAGGGACCTCTCAAGCAACTCTCTCAGTGGAAACATTCCTGCTTCGCTTGGAAAATTAAGCAAGCTTTCGAGTTTGTGAGTACTGTAATACTTTCCAAGTTACATTAGTCCTGGATGGTTTTCTTTGGTATAATACTTACTGTCGTTTTCTTAAAATGTTTGAAGCAACGTGTCAACAAATTTTCTGGAGGGACCAATACCATCTGATGGTGTACTTGCCAACTTTCGTAATGAATCGTAAGTACTAAATTTTAGTGATTTTGTATTTAGTAGTCTAAATGTGTCAACGTGCATGTGGTCTTTATTGTAAACTCCTATTTGTCTGTAATTTGCCACTTTTCTTGTTAGCCTGGATTATGCCTTGTTACTTGCTACCATTCCTAGTTTGTTTTGATTTGATTTTATATTCTTTATAAGTGACAACAAAAGAAGAAAATAGTAAAAAATTTCTTCTTTTTTTTTTTTGGGGGAATTTTTCTATATAAGAAAGGAAAATGATGTGAGAGAATATAGTTTTATTTGGTCTTCTTAATTTTACTCGTAGTTTCATCCTAAACCAATTGTATAGGAAGAATCAAACCTTTTGGCATTATTGTCTAATTTCCTTTCTGATGAATTTCTCTTTTCTTTCCTTCTTCCTCAAACCAAACCAACCATTGGATCCCTATAACAGGTAATCTGTTCACATCCCTGGTCGATGCAGTTGAAGCAGTAGCAATGCACCATACCTTGCAAGTTAAAGTTGATACTGAATGCATAAATTGCTTTGAAATGTAATCTGCAAAGAATGTTAGTCCTTGCTGCTTGTGGGAAGTTGGTTTACAGAAACTTTGGCATCTTATGAAAATATTGGCTAATTTGGACCACCAAGTTCTCTGTTTTCCAATATGATTCTTATTTCATCCTTGCAAGTGTCTCTTTTAGTTTTTTTCTGCTAAAATCTGTGACTTCTTTTTCTTAACAATTCAATGCTTCTCTTGTAGCTTCGTTGGCAATCGTGAATTGTGTGGCCAGCAAACCCAAGAATGCAAGAAGAATGGCAATGATTCTACAGCATCTTCCCAGCCTACTGGTTCTGGTAAATTGTTTGTTTTGCATGGGAGATTGTTTATTTACTGTCTATTTTATTTTCCAGTGGCTTATTATGTCAAAAGTATAGTATGAGCTTCTGGAGCTTTTACTTGTTGATAGTATAAACAACCTACCTGGAAAGAGGCTCATCTTAGCATATTGTATCGAACAACCATTCTTCGGTGTGCTACTCTCCAAGCAAATTAACCTAAATGTAATCCAGTATAATGCATATTATTGGATGAACATCCCTTCAACTGACATTTCTAGGCAAGACTCTTATCATCTTCATAATTGATTAGAACGTACCTCAGTGGTCATGCCTCATACCAAGATTTAGAATTGCTGTTGTAAATTGAACTTTCCTGTTTCATTTTATTCATAAAGCTCTGGACTTCCTCTCAAAATGGGTTGCACCAATCCATTGTGTATGTCAAACCATGACTCATTGATAGATCAAATCTAATCTAATCTTTTTGATGAGTATTCAATCAAAATTGTCTAAAAGGAGATAAAGGAGATGAATCCAAGCACACATGATTATACAAAAGATAGAGAGCCCCACAAAAACAGAAGAAAAAAAATGCAATTACAAATTTACAACAGTATCCTAGATGAGCATCACCCACATTTAATCCTAGAGTTTATGAAGGTTGATATATCTTCTATTCTTCAAAAGTATACAAAAAGAAAATGAAATGATGCTCTTAATATACACTGCAGATGCTCAATACTATCAAAATTTTGTTCACTCATCATTCCTTTCCTTCCACGAGTTCTATATAGCTAATAGGTTCCACCTAGGGTTGGGCAAAATGTCCGAACCGAACTGAACCGAATCGGAACCGAACCGAACCGAACCGAGCGGGTTTTCTTAACTTAAAAACCCGAAGAACCGAGAACCGAAGAACCGAAAAATTTTGGTTCGGTTCTCGGTTCTAGACCTAGAACCGAAGAACCGAATAAGAACCGAATTTTTTTTGATAAATCAATTTATTTTATTTTTTCTAAACAAATTAACAATTTTTTGTTTTAACTATTTGATATATATATATATATATTCCTTAACCTAACACGGGTTTAATTTTGGGCTAGTTTGTAGTTTTGTTTTTATTTTCTATTNTATTTGACAACTTATTATTTATATGTTATTAAATTAGATTACGTTAATTTGTAAAAGTTAAGATTGAACTTGGTATTTATATCTACTTTTTGTTATTAATATTAGTATCTACTTTCAGGTGTATTTATGTAGTATTATTTTAAATGTTAAAAAATTTAATTATAGTACGGAACCGAACAGAACCGAACCCGAACGGTTCCAAAATTATATTTGGAACCGACGGCTCCATTTACTAAAGAACCGAAAAAAACCGAACTAAACCGACCCGCGCCCACCCCTAGTTCCACCTTCCATACAAAATGTAGAGTGTTGAAGCAAAAAAAAAAAAAAAATTCCTATTGAAGCCAGCGAGTTATTTTTTTGCATTTGTTTGTTGAGTCTGACTATTCATCAAAAATATAATTTTAATGATGTGAGAGCCAACTATGTTTTTATTGTTATCAGCATTCATGTCACTGTTGGATTCCTTTTATCAGATAATTCTTGTCCCTGTCGAGGTATGAAGCCTTCTGCAAGAGTATGTGGATCCCGAATCTTTGAAATGGCAGTCATGAACCTTATCATAACTGTAACTTTTTTTGGTTTTATAGCGTTAAACAAGTATAGAATTATGTTAGAGCTTAAGTGACTTAGTTGCTGTCATTGGACCACAAGAGAAGCCAAAATTGATTTGACATTACTGCTTCATGACTTTGAGGCTGGCCTGATGATGACTTTGGCTCCTTAGCGACTAATATGTATTAATTGACTAAATCTTTTGGCATCATGAATTTCTATTTATTTTCAATTTCGACTAAGAAGTTGCAACTCTTACTATCTGTGTCAGTAGTTTATATGACTTAACTGTTGCGTGGATATTCCTAGTTGGTAGAACTTAATATTTTGTTTTTCCTCTTATTATTTGTGGTGTTTTCAGCCCAAAGCCAAGCCAAGAAGAAATATTCAGGCCGGCTTCTTATAAGTGCACTTGCCACTGTGGGTGCATTGCTTCTGGTGGCTCTTATGTGTTTCTGGGGCTGTTATCTGTATAAGAGGCTTGGTAAAAATGATGGCAAAGTCCTTGGGGTGGACGTCACTGGGGGTACTTATCTAATAACTATACATGAGAAGTTACACTTAGGGTTCTTTCTGAGTTGGTCCAGACTGTGTTTTATATTGTTTCTCAAAAAATCCAACCTTTCTCATTGTTTGTTTCTTCAGGAGCATCAATTGTGATGTTTCATGGAGACTTGCCATACTCTTCAAAGGACATCATTAAGAAACTTGAGACTTTGACAGAGGAACATATAATCGGTGCTGGGGGCTTTGGAACTGTCTACAAGCTTGCTATGGATGACGGCAATGTATTTGCCTTAAAAAGGATTATGAAGGTAAACAAGGACTTCGATCGGTTTTTTGAGAGGGAGCTTGAAATTCTTGGAAGCATCAAACATAGATACCTGGTAAATCTGCGAGGATATTGCAATTCCCCAACATCAAAACTTTTAATATATGATTTCTTATCAGGGGGCAGCCTCGATGAAGCTCTTCATGGTAAGATAAGAATCTTTTTCTTTTAAATATTCTTTAAAGTTTCTTTATATACGAGTATTATAGACTGATTCTACTTGAAACTATTCTTGCCATTTTCAGGGTTGCTTGCACAATTTGCTGGTTACAAGCAACTCATAGTTTCCCATTGACTTGTATAGTTACTTATAAAACTCTCACGTGTCTCTGATAAAATATAGGTTCTATCTTCCATGCGGAGAGAGCCGAGCAGCTAGATTGGGATGCTCGTATTAATATTATTGTGGAAGCTGCAAAGGGGCTTGCCTATCTGCATCATGACTGTTCCCCTCGAATTATCCACCGCGATATCAAGTCGAGCAACATTTTACTTGATGGAAATTTTGATGCTCGAGTCTCTGATTTTGGACTGGCTAAATTATTGGAGGATGAGGAATCTCACATCACGACGATTGTAGCTGGCACATTTGGATATCTGGCTCCTGGTAAGGATAATAAGCAATGTATAGTTAAATCAGTTTCTATTTTGTCACTTGGTTGTTGGAGTTTTTATTTCATTTTAATTACAAGAACTTGAACTTTTTGTTTCTAATTTTTTGACCATTAAATTTTTTTTCTAGAGTATATGCAGAGTGGTAGAGCTACTGAAAAGACTGATGTCTATAGTTTTGGCGTTCTGGTGCTCGAGATAGTGAGTGGGAAACGGCCTACTGATGCATCCTTCATTGAGAAGGGACTAAACATTGTTGGATGGGTACTCCTTTCCCACTTCCTTTAATGCAATCATTTGTTAGTACTAATTATGAATATTTACTTGTGTACTCATGCTTAATTAGTCAAGTTACATATACCAGTTCTAAAATTGGACCGACCAATCTGGTATACTTCGTGTCACTCTCATCTGAATGGGTATTCTAGACCTGCCATCCTCTAGGTTATTACAGTATGCTGATTTTCTCTGTTTTGCACTTTTGACCGAATACATAGGACTTAACTAATTTCAGTTCCACAGTGCTGTTGTCAAAATGTTTGTGGAAGAAAGTTCAATGCAAATTGGGTTGCTCATGTATTAGATGAAAGTGCTTACCTGTCTGCTTTAATGTAGCATTATTTAGCTTCATGTCTAATGCTACACATCTGGTTGGCTAAAATTTTATTTAGCACGAATTCTCGACTCCCGTATGATCAATTGCACATTTTATCCTCACGTGTATGAATCACTGTTTTAATTCATTTTCGCAGATGAATTATTTAGTTTCAGAGGACAGACGACGAGAAATAGTCGATCCAAACTGTGTAGCAGTTGAGACCGAGAGCCTCGATGCCCTGCTTTCAATTGCTATCCAATGTGTTTCTTCAGGCCCTGAGGACAGGCCAACTATGCACAGGGTGGTTCAAATACTTGAATCTGATGTCATGACACCATGCCCGAGTGACTTCTATGATTCCAACTCTGATTAGGGCTTTTTTCATCGAATAGTAAAGCTTCATAGTTGCTAGTATTATCATCTGTTTCGTGTGGCAAAATGCAGAAGCAACACAAGTACAGAAGGGGCTCAGAATCTGAATTAATTTATTTTGAACCTTATTTATTCGTTCTTTCTGCAAATAATGATGGAATAGGCCCTTGTTGCTTCGATTATTCTCCTCTAACTTAGAGCAATTGGTTCGCCCTCATCATGAATCAGGGGTTGCTTTGTCCCAAGTGTCCTTATCAGGTTTATCTTATACAAATATTTTAACTTTTTGCTATTGTTCTCTCTTCCCTTTACTTGATCTTCCCTCATTGAAATTCCTCTGAATCAATTTGTAGTAAAATTAGTTGTCATCATACCCGAAGGATCCTTGTGATTGATTCCATTTTGTATAATATTTGGACTGCAATAAGTTTTTCCATTATTTACTGCAAACTTTCATTCACCTATTACAAGGAATCTTGTGTGTTTTAACCAGAACACAATATATCCACTCAAGCAAACGTTCAGGAAGGTGCGGTGAAAGGAGGAAATGGGGGCAGTAACAATGGGTTGAAATGGATTGCGCAACGCGCTCATACTTAGGATCTCCCTAGTAAAAAAAAATTTGGGGTGGGGGTAGGGGTTGGTGGTGGTGATATGACAAATAGAAAATGAAAAAAATGATCTTGCTACATATATACATCAAGATTTATATAATGGATTATATGATATTATATGACATTCTATCATTTGTCAGTTTAAAAAAAATTAATTTTTTTTATGTACAAGTAGCAAAATTCTGAAAAAATTAGTGCATTCCATTTGAATGGTAGTTGTCCCTATAATGCAAGCATCTGCCTAATTTTAAGGTAAAAGTGTGTCTTGATTTCGTGGCCATTTTCAAATTTTAAATTATTTCATCTCGAAACAACAAAAAAGAAAAAGAAAAGAAAAAGGGATTCTTAGATAAATGATCATTTTTGTTTTTTGCCCTTCTCTATTGATTACTGTAAATCAATAAAAAACTTAAAATTGGGTCAAATAGTCTTGATTCTTACTCTATTACTTGGCTGTGTCGTCTGTAAGTTAAGACATTTTTTAACTGCACAAGAACTTGTTTTCGAGGTTCAAAATAAATAAATAAATAAATAAATATCCATCCAGGTTCAAATTCGAGATTAGCACAATGCAGATTAATTTGAAATAGAACATAAAAACATTAAATTCGACTACAAAATACAGTAGAGAATTATTTAGAATATGCTGTAAAATGTAACGAGAATGAATAGAATGACAATAACAGAATAATTTTTAAATCATTATAATATCAATGTCAAGCAATATTGTCGAGATGTTATGATAATTAATATGCGATTGAATAGATATTGATAGCAAATATTTATAACATGTTGATCGATTTAAAGTAATTGATACAATATTAATATGAGAAAGCATTCGGAATAATGGTCAATAATATGATGACAAAATAGACATAAATAAATCGAGGACAGTCAAGGACTCAGGGGGTTTTGTTTTACACGAGAAATTCTAGCATTAAGTTTCAATAGAGAGAGAATATGTTTAAATCCGTTATTTTTATTAAGCAAAGGTTCTTCAAAATTACGTGATAGAGTCAAAAGATAATGAAAGTTCCAAATAGATCCCTAAAATTGATGCTAATGTGTGGTCCTTTTAACCTTCTAAATGTGTGATTGAAAATAATTTTTTGAAAATGAAGACCAAACATGTGGTTACGGTACACAACATTGTATCTATTCTGCCAATAACGCCAATTTTTAAATTATTGAGATACTTATGACATATTTAATAAGATAACAGGAAATTCTGCATAATAATATATGCAACATTTGCTAGTTGTATCATGTCTTCAATATATATTTAGTGCTTGTTTGGTAGAGATTTTTGGGGGAATAATTGATTTTGAATAGTGATATGATGAAAAATTGTGGTTAAAAAAGAAGAAAAAATTATTGATTTGATGGAAAATATTATTTTATTGAAAAATGTGTGGTTGAAAATGAGAATTGAGAATTAATTCTCAAAATCAGAAACAAACTCCCCCTTAATGTGTTGGATACACTTTTGTTTCTATTTTTTCCAAGCATATTGATACCTCACTTTGAACCCTGTAATGGAGTTTTGAATTATCAATACACCTTTTTTGACAGCTAGCCTTACAAACACTTTTAAATCATGTAGTCCATACCTTTGTAGATATATCTATCTGATCTAGCCTCTCTTCGAGGCGGTGTCCATATCTTTTCGTGCAGGTCATGACATATACCAAACAATGAATTTCACTATCTTAGACTAAAAATTGATATGATTCAATGTAAAACCCATTTAAATGAAGCAAATAACAGTGGGGCTCGAGAATTGATGAGTATTAGAATCATATGAGCGCAAAATACTAAAAAATACAAAATTTACGAGCTATAACAACTAGTGATTTTGTGTTCAATGCAATGGATCTTCTATATTAAACTTTAAAATCTCGATTTCTCTCTCTACATTAATCGCATTAAATGAAAAAGATATTTTGTGACAATCTATTCCTATATATAAAAGCCTTTAGCATGAACATATGGAACACCTGTGGTATCTCAAAAACACTACAATTTGGTCGTGATCATGGCATCTCATCAATATTTTGTTGTTGGGATGGCATTTTATTGATGATATCATTAACAATGTTAACAGCCACCAATCCGTAGCGCTCATCATAGCAATAATAAACATCACTGAACCTTTTAACCNCCTCGCGGAGTATAGCTCACATCCAAACATCTGATTGGGGAACGGGGCAACGCCCATGAAGCTCCGGCGGAAAGGGAAGGCCTGCCAGGCCGTATGCCCATGGGTGCAGGATTCTTCGAAAAGGCGCGGGCTGACTCGGAGACCTGGGACCTTGGCTTAGCAACGAATGAAGGGAAGCTCGAAGAGCTTTCTCCGCCAGCGGCTTATGTAGTGGTCGGCCTTATAAAGCTCGCTAAGCTTCGCTTCGCTCCCCCCTATCCTTATTAAATTAAGTGGAAAATAGTAGTCGGCATTCTATAAGCGACTTGCCGAGTCTACGAAGCTTTGCTTCTTCTAGTCGGCCCGTAATGCCTCCCTTCATTTGCTTGCCTCCTTCCAGCTCAGAATGCCTAATGCCTATTATCTAGTGCTAGAAGCTAACCGCCAGAAGCTCACCCTTCGGGTGTCGCTTCCAGCGCAAGAGGCCAAGCATTCTGCTAGACATCCAGGCCTAGGAGCACCATTCGCCTTTACTTTATGAGTAGTACTTAAGTAGCTAAGTATGCCATGAGAAGCGATCCATTTGTAGGAAGTTTTAACAATTGGAGACGTGAACCAAACAAAAAATAAAAATAAAAATTGTTAGATACTACGATCTCGTATTCACAACATTCTTCTTTTCTATACCACACAGTCTTCCTTTGTGTACCACATAGTTATGACCAATTTAGACATGTTTTCTTGTTCTACCGGACCACTTGAATCTCTCAAACGAATTGAAAGTTGGGTTTATGTTGGATCTCACCCGAATCATCCCCATCAATCCTCCTAAATAGAGGGAAAGTTCATCGATTCCATTTTTATATTACTGTTTGTCCGACTCCGGCCAATCATAGGGCGTGTCAATACCGACTATAGGTCAATCAATCCAGATGAGCGCAACAATTTTTAAACCACGAGCAATGAACATTCAGTCCAATGGGTTCCTGATTTACCATTATACCAAACTAACCATTTTAAGCAACCTTTGACAACTCAATAACACTACAATTTTGTCGTGCTCATAGCATCTTATCAATATCTTTTGTTGGGCATTTTGTTGATGAGAGTGACATGAACTGTTTATAGTTTTTAAAGGCAAGAAATATGAACAAATTGCTACTTTTTACAATCTAATCATTTGTGACATCCTTTCACTCTAGTTAGTCATGTTTTCTTATTCTCATTGTCCCCTCAAATCCCTTGCATGAATTGAGAGTCTGTATTGTATCTCATTCGAATTGTCCTCTATCTGTCCTATTGAAGAGGGATTTAATCTCAAAAATCAAATCGTTTTATTTTTCATGTGAAATTAAGTGATTATATATTGTGAATCCCACAAGTGTGTAGGAACCTTCAATGTGTTTTACACATTTTTTTATACTAGCCAAAAATTTTCCGTTAGTGCATTGAATTTGACATCGATTATGTTAACATAAAAAATCTTTTATAGTCCATATATTAGTGATCTTGAAATTGTTGGGAGCGGAACGAGATTATTTGACAAGATATAAAGTATTGATCACAATAATAAGAACACAAAAAACAAGAATTTAATTTGACAGAAGTATTGAAAAAGTTATTTGCTAATAATGGAGAGAAATTACAGCAATATTGTGTTCCTACACAATTCTAACTTTCAATAATCATGATGTAAAACCTTGTTCTAACTATAAAGAGAAGCTAACTACATATAGGGGTATATATCAAACCATAATAATATTCCTAAAGTTGGAAACTATGTCAAAAAATGGGTGGAATAAATAAAACAAGGAAAATCCGGAATGGCGTGGCGCTCGAGCACCAAACGAACGACAGCTCGCTGCTGAAAATCCCGTCTCACCGCTCGAGCTAGCTCCATCAATCCATTTTTTTCCTCCATGTACCCTATTTAGATGTCTTCAAGGTCCAATATACCAAACCAAACAAACCTTAGATGAATTTGGGTCGCAAACCCAACATAAATTGATATGAAAAAGAGCCACAAGTCTAAGATGGCATTGGGGTTTTCAAAGGAGACCCTCCGATGCTAAAGTTAGTAGAATTGTTATAACATCACCTTAAACGTATCAACATGTTATAGATGATGAATGATTGTTGTGTTTAGAAAGAGTATTTACTTTTCGTTTTGGTCCTTTATATAGGCTTTTCCAGTTAGCTATATTTGGTAAAGTGTGTTAGTTGCACGACCTTACCAACCCTCTAAAA